AGAAATAAGAACCAAGATACTCATGTAATGGTACAAGATCCCAATGATGAATGTAACTGTATTTTATACCTAAAATGTACCAATAAAGTTAATGGGGAAAAAAAATCTACATTAGCTGGGCATGGTGGTGGATGCCTGTAATCGCAGCTACTCAGGATCCTTAGGCAAAAGGATCACGAATTTGAGGTCAGCCTAGGAACTTAGAGAGACTCTGTCTCAAAATTTTAAAAAAGGGCTGGGGATGTAGCTCAGTGGTAGAGCACCCCTAAGTTCCTCAGTGGTAGAGTCCCCAGTCCTGGGGAGAAAAGTCCAGATTAAAGGCAAAGGAGAGAGATCCAAATGCCTAGATAACCACAGCAGAAATTCTGTGGGGCAGAACAATTCAGATATTAGTATTTTAAAAACTCCTTCAGATAATTTTATTTATTTATTTGGTACCAGAGATTGAACTCAGGTCCTTGCGCTTGCGCAGCAGGCGGCAAAACCAGAGCTAAATCCCTGGCCCCTTCAGATAATTTTAATGAGCACTTCAGACTGAGAACCACTGGTATAAAAAAATTTTTTTAAACCTTAATCTACAAGCATTAAAACTATGCATTCAAGAATTCTAGGGAGTCTTGGTAATTTTTCACTAACATGATTTGGAATGAATGGGATTAGACAACCATGAAAACACTACCTACAGGGCCGGGGATTTAGCTCAGTGGTTTTGCTGCCTGCTATGCAAGTGCAAAGACCCAAGTTCGATCCCTGGTACCAAAAAAAAAAAGAAAACACTACCTACAGTATAAATCAGGTATCGAGGTGATGCAAAGATACAAATCTATTAGCATAAAGATATAATAACTGTGGGCTGCAGACCGGGCTAAACCTAGCTCAGCAGCAGAGTGCTTGTGTGCAAGGACCTGGGTTTGATCTGGAGCACCACATCAAAAAAACAAACCATCAAACACCAAATAAAACAAAAAGTGTAAAACTTTAAGAATAGATTACTACAGAAAAACAGCAAATAAATGTGCTATTACCAAAATTTGATAATTAGATTTTAGATATTTTTTCTGATGACTCTATGCTCTAATAATTACAGGAAAAGATTGTGAAATGACCAAAGCCAATATTAAAATATTAATGATAAAATTACAGTGGTACACTAGCTGTGTTTCAAGTTTGCAAAATGAAATTGGACCAGGAATAATCTCTTATATCTCATTTCACTTTAGCATGTGGTGGACTATAGTATAGTTTGGAATGCAACCAAAACACATTTTGTTCTATTTAAATTTTCAAAACAAGAAAATCTACAAAGGTACCTGTTTCAAATCCAAAGTAAGCCCCAAACAATTTTTTAGGGGTGGATCAATACTTACTGTGTGAAAATCATCTAGAACAATGCCTGATACATAGTAAGTGCTCAATAAATGTTAGTCGTTGTTACTCTATTTCTGGGGAAAGACAGGTATGGAGAAAGTAGCACCAGAAAATCTCTTACTTGCTCCTGAAGGCTCTGGGCCAATGCTTGTTGAAGCTCTTGTTCTTCCCTTTCACGCTCTATATCATATTGCTGGAGCCAATCAACTTCTCCCTGAGATCCTTCTGGAGTTTTGTTTTCTTTATTCTCATCACAGTCTTTTGTTATCTCAGTAAAACTGGCAGGATCTGAGGAAAGAGAATTTAACATTATTTTGGAAATTTCTCTCTGAAAAACTGAAATTTCAGGACTAGAGTGACATCTACTGTTGAGAGTAACTTACTATAATCTCATCTAAGAGTTAGCTGGTACATACAGTTTCATCTTACTACATCTACATCATGGGTTCCCAACCTCAGCGCTACTGACAATTTAGGTGGGATAAGTAGTTTTTTTAAGGATGGGGACAGGGAGCAGTCTGTAGAATTGCAGAATTGTAGAATTTCAACCACATCCCTGGCATCTTCCTCCTAGATGCCATTAGCACTCATCTTCGCCAGTTATGACAACCAAAAATGAAAGACATCGCCAAATTTCCCCTGGGGGGGATGGACCTGCTTAGTTGAGAAACACTAATATACAATAATGGTCTGAAATTTTTTTTTTTTTGTACCAGGGATTGAACTCGGGACCTTGCACTTGTGAGGCAGGCTCTGGAACCACTGAACTAAATCCTTAGCCCCGAAATTTAACAGATCATTAGGAGGACACTATGATTAAGGATGGGGAAGAACAAATATCTGTAATATTCATAGGCCACAGTGCCACATTTCCAAGTTCTAGAAACATAGTATTATCAGAGTAAATGAAATATGAATTAGACTAAAACTATTAAGCTGTTATTGGGATTTTCCCATTTACTACACTGAATGTCAAAACACAGTCATTTACTACACTGCATGTCAAAACAGAGTATCTGTTTTCACATTAATAATCAAACTAGCCAGGGATTTAGCTCAGTGGTTCCACCGCCTGCCTTGTAGACGGCAAGGTCTCAAGTTCCTTCCCTGGTACCAAAAAAAAATCAAACTAATGAGGGCTGGTAATGTACCTCAGTGGTAGAGCATGTGCTTAGCATGTACAATGCCTTGGGGTTCAATCCTCACAAAATCAAACAAGCCGTGTATATATTCTAGATCAAAAGAGCGAAGTAGAAAATAATAAATGCTACAGAAAACTATCACAGTACATATGCTTAAAATCAGCCAGGGAAGTAAGAACAAATTTTTTGTTTTTTGTTCCTTCTCAGTCTCTAAGCTATGGCTAACTGGGATAAACAGGAGGTCATGATGTTCTGGTTATTTTAATTATGCGAGTAACAAAATTTCCAATATAGGTAAGAGTGGAAGAGAACTTTTTAAAACCATAAAACAGTTTATCAAAGTAAAAATTCTCATTGGGTTAAAGGCAAGTCTCATAAAAAGAATTCAGCCAGTGAGAATTACCTTTATATATTCATTTTATGAAACTGTTTATATTCTTTAATGATCCTAATCCTACATTTTATATGGATATTTCTCTCTCTCTTTTTGAAGACAAGGTCTCACTATGTGGTGCAGGCTGACCTTTTTTTTTTTGATACCAGGGATTGAACTCAGGACCTTGTGCTTGTGAGGCAGGCAGTGGCACCACTGAGCTAAATCTCCAGCCAGGCTGGCCTTCTTAAACTCACCATCCTCAGGCCTTAGCCTCCCAGAGTGCTGGGATTCCAGGCAAGCACCATCATGCCCTGCTTAAATGGATACTTTTTTTTTTTGGTACCGGGGATCGAACTCGGGTCCTTGCGCTTGTGCAGCAGGCGGCGAAACCACTGAGCTAAATCCCCAGCCCTAAATGGATACTTTTTTATTGGACAGATAACTCTGAAGCTTATAGTATTTTGGTTTTACACTCAAAAACACAACTAATTATTTTGAATTGTATTGAACTGCTGAGTGAATATTCATTAGAAGAGAAGGCAACCTTCTGAATTTATTGGGTGCAACTCTCTTGCCTTTTTGTTTCTTTGGAAATACTGGGGACTGAACCCTCAGCTTTGCTCATGCCAGGCAAGTGTGCCACCACTGGGCTACATCCCCAACCCCTCCAGCCTCTTTCAACAAATTTTATTTTAGACAGGTTTTTTAGCTAAGTTGCCCAGGCTGGCCTCAAACTTGCAATTCTCCTGCCTCAGCCTCCAGAGTAGCTGGGACAGGCATATACCCAGGTAAATATAACATTCTTACAATGAATATATTTACCTCTTCCATACCTGAACTGAAACCTCTCCTTTTCCTATATCTCTATTTCAGTGAATGAGATTACTGTCCATAGTTGGGTTTTTTTTGGCAGAGATAGAAACCTGAGGATCATCTTTTTCTTTGTTTTTTTTTCCATGAACCTAGTGCCTTCGCACTGAGCTACATCCCTAGCCCTTTTTTATTTTGAGATAGGGTCTTGCTAAGTTGCTAAATTGCCCAAGTGGGAACTGAACTTGTAATTTTTCTGCCTCAGCTTCCCAGAGTGCAGGGATTACAGCTGTGTGCCACCATACTCGGCTTCCAAGGATCACTTTTTATTTCTCACTCTCATTTACCCCTCACCTCAGATAATCCATTATTCCCTAACTAAATCCTGAACCCATCAGCTTTTATTTCTAAGCCAAAACCTTGGCTTAGGGGACCATTAACTTTTGCTTTGGACTTTGCAGTAACTTCCTAACAGGTCTCACAGAATCACCCTGGTTCTCCCTAATTTATGTGCTATTTTGCAGCCAGTGCTACCTTTTTTTCAAACACTGATCTTTATTAAAAACATTTGTTTTCTCAAAATATCCAATAATTCCAATGCTTTTGAAATAAAGGTCAAACTGTTAAACACGGTTTTAGGCCTGGCAAAGCCCCTAGAGACTGCTTAGCTCTACAGTTTCATCTTCCTCCCCCTTTAGCACCACACTCCAGTCATGCAAATAGTTCTGAACTTTTTCTTTAGGTCCACTAACTTGCCATGGCCTTTCTCCTCTCTGAGCCTTTGTAAACACTATTCCCAGTGGCGAGTGGTAAATCTCCTCAGTGATTTACCACATGGCCAATCTGTTGGGTCACAACCATTTATTGTGAATCTACTGTATTGAGAATGCACTGCTGCAAGCTGGGGATACAGTGGAACTTAAATGCAAAGGCTCAGGGATGAGAATGAAATTAGCGTATCTGAAGGGACAGAGAAGGCAAGTTGGCTAAGGTAGGAGAGTGGAAGCGAGTGACAGTGTGGAGGCAGGACACAATAAGCAGCTCAGTTATTAAGTGTACTGAGATGTCAAAATAAATTTTCAGTGCAAGTGTTACATGGTACGACTTATGCTTTAAAAAGACTACTTTGGCTGCTTTGCTGCAGCATCTGAGTGGAAGAGATGTTATTTAGCGACCAGGCCAGAGCTGGAAAGTTAGAGCTGTTGCCATAAAGATGTGAATGACTGAATTCAGAACATGCTTTGGAGGTACTGCTGACTGGATTTACTGATGGACTGAAAACAAGGTGCGAAGTAAAACAAAACAAGCGCCAAGGTTCTGAGTTCGATCCCCAGTACCAAAAAAAAAAAACCCCACATCAAAAGAGACATGTTTTTTGGCTTGAGCAACTGGGTAGATGATGGTACGATTTGATGAAACAGAGAAGGCATAATTGGTAGAGGGAGAAATTAAAACTAGACATCCAGAGCTGAGGGTGTAGCTCAGAGATAGAGTGTCCTGGGTTCAATCCCCAGAACTGCCAAAAAATAAATTTAATAAAGTGGAAACTGAGAAGCTGGCTGAAGCCTGTGTGTGTGCTTCTTGTGCTCCTCTCAGCAAGTTTGCACAACGAATGCGTATGAAGCATTTTGCCTCTAGGCTTGTTAGGATCTCCTTTGCCCATGTTCATTTTTCCTCAGCCAGGCACAGAGCTGCCCAGTGTGTCCAGCTCTTACCCCTGTGCTGTTTCTATGGAGATCAATGTAGTTGTCAAACAGGCTTTTCAAAGATAGGCGATAGTAAGTGGTTTAGCTACTTTCTCACCGTTGAGACACAATACTCAACACCCACAACTCTAAGGATGAAAGGTTTATTTTGGCTCACAGTTTCTAGAAGTTTCAGTTTGTAGTTGGCTGGTTTCAAGGCATGGTGGCATGGCACAGGGGCATGGCAGAGGAGAAAAGCTCATGGAATAGTGGCGGGAAGTAGAGAGGGATCAAGGAAGGAGGAAGGGAGATATAACGAATATATACTTATTCTTATTTTACTTGCACATAAGAGGGTTCAAAATTGAAGTGGCCCTGACTCTGCAAATGTGGAAAATAATTTTGTGATATTCTACTATTCTTTTTTTTGGTACCAGGCATCGAACTCGGGACCTTGGAGCTTATGAGGCAGGCACTGTGACACTGAACTAAATCCCTGGCCCTATTCTACTATTCTTTGCATTTCCAAAATCCTAGGCTTGGATTATTTAGAAGCCATTTGTCTCTCTAAGGCTTTGGAATACACTTATGTTTTAACATGTTCATTTCATTAATCTTACCTGGCTCTGTGACTGTTCTGGGCTTCTCAGCTTCCACAGTGCCTGGATTTTCAGACATTTCTTGAATATCATCTTCTGCAAATCCTGTATCTGGGCTGCTGGTTGGTTTATCATCATCTTCATGACTGAGGGTTGGTGAAGTTTCTCTCTTACTGATCTCTAAGACAGCTGCTAGAAGCTCTTCTTCACTTATTCTGTCAAATTCAGACTTCTCAGACTCCGCTCTGGATAGTTTCGAATCCTGAAGAAGACAGTTATTTTAGAGGTGACTAGTGCCTACAAATACAGCAATTTTTTCTTCTGTTTTCTATTAATTCGAGTTTAAAGTAGAAACTTTAATTTCTAAAAATTTCTTTGCTCTTTTGGGTTATTTAACAATAACAATCGGGCAAACCTAATTTTTAAAATAACAACTACATAAGAACATGATACTTTTCTATTTTTTGGCAGTACTGGAGATTGAACACAAAGGCTTTGCAACAAGCTATATTCCAAACCCCTTTAAAAAAAATTTTGAGGCCAGGGATTTAGCTCAGTGGTTCTGCTGCCTGCCCCGCAAGTGCAAGGACCAGAGTTTGATCCCCAGTACCAAAAAACCCAAAAAAATACAACAACAAAAAAAAAACTAAAAAAAAATTTTTGAGACAGGCTGGGCTCAAACTTATGATCCTCCTGCCTCAGCCTCCCAGAGTGCTGCAGACTTCCATGCCTGCCTTGGTACTTTTTCTTGATTACAGTAAGTGGTAAACATGCACTTTGTAGAAATTTGGGAAATACATAAAAATGTATAAAATCACTCAAAATAGATTACTGAATATAAGTATTTTTGTCCAGGTACAAAGGGGATTATACTGTGTTATTCTGTTCATTGCATTCAATATTCCATTTTAAATGTTGGCTGGTCTTAAATGAGAAAAACTAAAACTTCACAAGATTATGTAAATATTAAAAAGTTATATTTGAATAATTTTCTTTTATTTCTGGAAGAATTTCTGAATTTCAATTCTCATTCAAGGTGAGGAACCTCAAACTACTATTTTTAATCTTTTTTTGGTACCAAGGATCGAACTCGGGACCTTGCACTTGTGCGACAGGCACCAGAACCACTGAGCTAAATCCCCAGCCCTCAAACTACTATTAGAGCTTTAAAGTAAAGTGGCAGACAACTGAGAACACAAAATAACTATTATAATTTATTATATTACCAAAAGGGAAGTTTAAAATAAAACACAGTAGCATAAGATAATACAATCACCTAGAAAAGCTTAAATTTTCAATGCATGAATTAATAAGTGTTAAGGTAGATGATGATGTAGCCATGTCTTCATACTCATAATTTAAATAAATTATCTGGTTGCTCAGTTGATGTAAAATGTTTACTACAGTTTCCTCACATAAACAACAATTACTAAAATTAGGTAATTATTTGAGGTCTAATGTGTAAAAGTAGCTGAGAAGGGTAGAAGAAATTTCACCTACAATTACTTTAATTTCTTAAAAACAGACTGGCTTTTTTTAGCTAGAGAAAGCACACTCTTTAAAACTAGTGTCAGAGCCGGGAGTGGTGGTATAGACCTGTATTCTAGCACTCACTAGGCTGAGACAGGAGGAGCAACTTAAGAGTTTGGGGCCAACCTGGGCTATACAATGAGTTCAAGGCCA